CAGGACATGGTTTAGTGGGCATGGTTGATTGTTGGACTCCATGATCTTGAAGGTCTTTTCCAACCTAAATGATTCTATGATTCTGTGATTAAACAGCTTGCAAGGACTCCACTTATGGACTATGACAGATTTAGCCTGGAGCTTCTTACAGTCCAGCACTGTCATTGTTCATTTATTGTAGGGTTCGGCGTTCGGAAGATCTCGCGATGTCACGGAAAGTTAGAGGGTTAGTCGCAGCCTTATGATGTGTCTGTAATCCCGCCTACCCTTGTTAGTATAAAAGGAATTGACTGCGCAATAAAAGGCGGAAGTTGGCGCTCACACTGTGTGTGTTATCTGTCTCTTTCCCTGGTCTGGGGGGTGATCAGTGATCTAATCGTGGCACCTTGATATGCGGCGAGCACTACAATTTATAACCAACAGGATGGCACAGCTGTTATTACTGATGTTGTTACTGATGATCATTACTGATATATTTACTAATGGTGGTTCATAGATCATGATTTTACCAGTTCTTAAGGGCACTCACATGCGAATACTTTTTCACATTGCTTTTTAAAATTTAAGGTACATTGGGTGCAATAATAAATGTGTGTAAAAAAATGTATTGCACTCTATTCCCTGCAACAAGCTTTGAGTTGTAACTTTTCATAGGACTCATGTTTTAATTTCTCATCAGTGATAACCAGAAGTGCCAAAACCAAATCCTGCCCATGAACATGAAGGATGCCTGCGCGGAGCTGGCTCAGGGCGCAGAGGGCTGGAGCCCCACGCATGGGAGGGCAAGGCGGGTGTCTGCTGGGCTCCCTCCTCCCTGGCTGGCTCTGCCCCAGCAGGAACCCCAGGCTGGGCAGCGATCCTGAGCTCCCTCCCAGCTTCCCAGCATGGGGTGAGTCAGGGCCTTTCCAGCCCATCTCTCTCCTGAGTAGTCGTCCTTGGCCAAAATCCCAAGAGCTGGAGCCCGCCAGTGCCCCATGTGGGGCTGGCCTCTGCAAAGGCATGGCCAGACTGTGCTAACTGTGGGCAAGTGAGGTCAGCCCTCCCACCATGGAAAAGCTGGAGTTTTCAGCCATAGGGACTGCTGCGACCACAGAGAATGCCCAGGACTGGGGAACCCACAGGCTACTGGGGCTTAAGCAGCGGTTTGGCGAATCTAAGAGCATCTTCCCTGAGCAGCACCATGAATGACCAGCTGGGGATGGGTTCCCTGCTGTTACGCGGGGAGAATGGCTTGACATTCATTATGGTGTGTTACATCCACCCAGGTTTCTGCTCGCAGTTCCAGCTGGCCACATTAAGAACTTCTAAGGAACTCCCCATTTTCCTGTAGGTATTGTTTGTGTCCCGCTAACCACAGCCTGGCTGTCTGCTCCACCCATGCACAGAAGAGTGTCTGCCTCCACTCACTGAAAGGCAGAATTTCCAGGGCTACTTGTTAATGGGCTGTCACTGATAAGAGAGAATTTGGCCAGATAAAGAATCAGGCCTTCCAAAAGTCTGTCTAAAATTGAAATTATATGTTTGAGTGTGCCCCTTTCTCTTGGACAGGAATTTCTGTAACTAAATTATTTACAAATTAAGCTATCTTAATCTTGCAAATACAATGCGCTCTCAGTTGTTTCTACCCTTTTCCTTGGAACTCCGCTCTGTAATGGGTCCTCTTGCTCTTTCTTCCACCCTTAAAGTCTCTCCCATTTCCCAAGTCTTGAACAGACTCCTGTGGTACCCTCCCTAGTTCTGGGACCTCACACTGCTCTCTGGCCATTTTGCAGTGTAAGGAAGGGTCTGTAGCAATTTAAGAACTGGAGCAAGCAGTTTCCCAGGAGATGCATGTGCTAAGGAAGGGGAACAAACAGGTCCCATACTCACCCCCTGGGCTGCACTACACAGGGAAAAAGTCTAAGTTGAGGAATGAATGCAAGTGGATTTAAGGACTGCTTAATAAAAGAGAAATAAATTAGAGATATTTTTGCTTCCTTTGAAAATGTAAAAAGTGTCCTGCAAACAGCTGAGATGTGTGACTGAGCTGGAAGTGACTCACATGGAAATGAGTAGTGGCACCAGTACAGGAGGATTTATGGTGAACACTGGGAACTCTGACCCAGGCAGGTCAATACACATAATAAGGAAAGTTCTGCATCACTGTAGCTGCTATAACCTGCATCTGGGGTAAGGTGTTCGCAAACGTCCTTGGCCAAAACCTAAGAAGACCACCATTGAATCCGCAATCTGCAAATGAAGGACATGCAGACCTGCTGCCATGTAACATGCTGTTCTGAAGAAAGCCCTCCCTGCTACTTCCCTGTATCTTGGAATTGCCTTATATTTCTTCCATCACTTAAGTGGGTGCAGAAACACCCACTGCTGCTCTTTGAGCAGTGAAGATGATCTAGTGCTCCTGCTAAGTCTTCTGTGCAAAGAGATGAGGCTCCTTGAGTGGGTGACTGGCTGTGGGGAACTCAATAGCACTACAGCATCGTAACCCCACCGGGCAGCTCACCCCGGTGCCCACTGCCCCCAGGCACTGTGGAGTCAAGGACTTTCCTGTCTCCCTGCTTGAGAAGCTGTCATGCCGTGACATGGAGTGGGAGATGCTGAGAAACATCCAGGGAAGTAGCAAACCCCACCATAACTATTTTACAAGATTGTGTGGGAAGAAATGTTGTCATCTCTCCATCTCTGCTGGATATGTATTTCTGTGTAAGGCAGTGAGTGTCTAAGAATTGCTGGGAGAAAGACATTCTGGTCAGTATTACACCACACAGTGCATAAAAGGATGGGGAAGGAACAGTGTATAAACAGGGTCGCAGCAAATCTGCTGCTTTTGTGAGACTGTGATAGCAGGCTATTGCCAAAATTAAACAATGAACAAAAGCAGGCATTGGAGTTTTGAATTTCTGACACAGAAATTAAATGTTCAGTTATACCTCTAGAGCAGATAAAGTCATGAGCTGTGACAAACACTCAGCAGAGTTCCTGTGGTATCTAAAGAAGCCTCTCTCCAGCACATCTCTTTTATTAAGGCTTGCAATTATGTCATCGTAGAACTGTGTGTCATATTTCTAATTATTTTTCAATCTGTGGATTGTGCCACAGTCATTAGAATGCGGTTTTGAGGACTGAAACTTGTAATTCATTCTTTGTTTATGAGGTACAGAGTGCAGTGCTAATTATCATCCTAATTAGCCCTCACTGATGGATAGTGGTTGCTTATTATATAAGTGATCACCACATTTTTAGGTAACTGCAACAATTTATTGCTTTCTTTTAAAAATAAGTCAATCATATAGCAAGTTCTGGGAAGCTAAAATTATGAGTTCTGTCTAAGATGACTATGAGACATCAAAGCCACAGCTCATAAACTGCAGTGCCAAAGCAAAGGACTGACGGGGATGGTCCATTCACAATTCAAGGCTTACGGGTCCTATAGAGAACAAATCATTAGGCCTTTTGCACATGCAAATAAAAAATCTCCCTTGTAATTCAGGTACAAACAGGCACTCACTCCAGAATGGATTTGGAGTGATTTAATCTCCACTAGTATTAAAAACATTGAAATTTAACCTTCAATCTGTTTTTATTATGGTGCACACATGGCTAGATAATATTCTCCAAAGAGTGTATAAAGGGAATAACTACTCTGTTTTCTGAAATTCCACTGCCAGCAAGAGAAGAAAATACAAACACATTGGCATGTTTACAAGTGATGCTGAAGGATATGTTTTATATTTTGATTATTTCCCCAATGCCAAGATTTTTAAAAAAATACAAGTTGCTGACACTGGTATTTACTGAGTATACTAAAAAGTAACATTTCTGTCAGTATGCATCTTTCTAAACAAAATGTGCAATTATCATTATGTATGATCATATGTATCTACACATATGATCTGTATGTATCTATACCTATGATAGTATTCATACCACATGATCATTCTGGTTTGCACACTTCATTATCTGAAAGTGATCTTTCCATATGTCTGTTGCGATGCCTTGGATATTCTATAAAGTACCGCCTCAGGTGTCATTAGTGCTTTCTCATGTGATGCAAGAGTAATTGGTTTATTTTTCATCAGAATGTGTTTATTTAAAAATACGTGGCTTTCCTACAATGTTTGAGAACGTGTGGCCAAAAAAGCTTCACATATAGTCAGGTTACATGAGTTCTTATTGTTTAACCTCAGAAAAAAATCTATTAATGGAAACACCCATAAAGAAAACAGAAGATCCAAAGCTCCCCCCCCAGAGCCCTCCGACTTTCTTGTCCATCTCGCTCCGACAGTAACCTCCTGGGTGCGCACGACCACCACCCCGCCCGCACAAGTTACGCGGTGGTAATGGATACAGCCACTTCTTGGCGCGCCTGGGAATCCTGACGGCATGAGACTCTTTCTTTCGGGGAAGGGGGCGATGCTGCTTCTCCAGGCCCGCGGAGGTCGCAGGCCCACGCTGCTCCGCAGAGCTGGGAGCGGCCCGCACAGCTGCCTCCCATACCCCCGTCTCCCCGGGCCTCCGCGGGCCGCGCCGGCCCCCACCGGGGTCCT